AAGTAGTTAAAATGGTAAACATTTGCCATTTCTGAAGCTAGAAAGGAGCATGATACTAGCCCTTAATGACATAAGCCAGTATTCTGGGATCAAACAGTGTGTATAAACATCCTAGGTATGATCAGTTGCACATTCTAATGTTTTCTAAATTTATAATATGTGAATTGAGGATTGTACTGTCACAGGCTTGATGCGCTGAGGGAATACACAGCTTTTCACAGTAACCACAAAAAGACAACATTAATTTATTCCACATTGTTCTGCATCAGGACTAAAATTCTGCAGTGTTTGTCTTTCATTAGCTGGCTGCCCCAGCATATTTGAGAGTCTCAGCCTCCCATGGTTGAATGTCTGATAGCTTGTCTCCAAAGCTTATCCTTCTGCATCTTGATCTGCTTGAATCTTGAAGGCACATGATCTGCACACTGCAGCAATCAGTCCAGCCCCTGAGTTTTGTCTTTCACCTTTCTCAGGTCTGTAACAAGGCTGTCTCTCTCAGTGCATCATTAATAAGCTTCATTTTCTGATTGTTCAGGGGGTGATTATTTTGCTTCTAACCTTTGCTTAGTCAAATTCTTCAGGTGATGCTGTTCTCCTATAAAAACATCTGCTTTATAGCCAAATACTTCTAAAGGACTAGATCTCCCCTGTATTTTCCTTCCAAACCATTAGAAAACTTTCTGCTGCTTTCGAGTGTCAGAAAATTTAGTCTGTTTGCTTGTTTGCTTATAAAGCAACTTGAGCTGAATTTTACCTGGTCCTTTGTAAATGTACCCTGAGTATTTCTGTGCACCACCATTCCACTGACGTGCAGTCATGGGCAGCTCAGCCCGCGCAGGTGCAGGAAAATGCAAAGCAAGAGTAACTGCAAAAGAACCTACCACTTTTAGCCACCTGTTGCCATTCACACCCAGTGAAAAGAAAATCACTGAAAAGAAACAAGTGAAAAGTGGTGCTGACTGAAATATTTTTTAGGAGAAGCCAATAAAAGTGAATAGAGACTTACCCAAAAGGCAGATTTCATATACCCAGGCACTGTGAATTTCTGCTTCAGTCTTCAGCTTCTCTATCCAAACAACAATCAGAGAGAACAAGAAAACATGTACAGCAAGCTCCAGAAACAAAAGGGTTCAGCATCACCTGGGAAAAGCTAATATGGTAATAATCATAATCTGCCAGGTCTGAAGTTTTTTTCATTTTTTTTTCTGGACTTTGTAGGTATTTTCCTTCATTAGTTTTGGAAGTCGAGTAAGAGAGCGCTTTCCTGCCGCCTTCCAGTGTGTTAAGGAGTACGATGTTGCCATTCTTCCTAGATGAAGTCTTTTATTCCTGCAACTGGATACTTATATTACTTCAATCCTATTTAAGAGATGACATCTCATTCTATATGAAATCATGTTTGTATTTTAATGGCTATTGCTTCTGCAGAACCATCACAACACTGTCTAGATCACGCTTTGTAAATATGAATTAAAATACCTGTGCACTGTAGTAACAGTGAAAAACAGAGTTTATTCTCTGCTTTGTCTGGGTGCCTCACCCACTTTGGGGATAAGCCATGTTCCACATGCAGTGGCACCTTGGCTAGCTCTGCGCTTTGCAGCTTAAGCGAGCAGGGCACTTACTCTGGGGAACAAGGCTTGTGGCCAGGCCAACCCTGGCCAGAGGTACTTGTGTTACCTGGGTTTTCCATCTTTCTTTTTTTTTTCAACCACGTCTTTTCCCTGATAATGGAGAGATGATTATATATTAATTTTCAAAAGATTACATTTAAGGCAGTTGATTCATAAAATATTAAATTTCAGGTCACAGAATAACAGGTTCAGGCACAAATCAACAATAGGTGTTACTCAGACTAATAGGCAGATTGACTTGCTATAGTCTTTTATTCTTAGATGTGGTTCCTTGCTGCTGTGTAATTCTACGGTTAGTTGAGCTCTTAAAGCAATGAAATTATAGCTGGTTTTGTTATTTGATGCTGAACTATTTGGAGACACGGTATCCTGTGTGTTCCCATCTCCATCCCTTTTCTAAATTATGCTTGTTTTCTTTTTCCTGGGTTCTGCTGTTAATCTACCTCCTAAAAATGTAGTATTCTGGATGTGAGTTCATTTATACCAGAGACCTGCTTTTGATTTGTCCTCATGCAAGTTAGAACAGCAATTAGATCAGGATTTCAGTTTTAGCATGCAGACTCCTACAACTGGAAACCCCAAAAAGGCATTATAAAACATGGGGATTATTTAGTTGTATTTGGAGATGCAGTAAGCATATTAATCTCAGCTGAAATTATTAGCTAGGACTGTTTTTTTGCACTAGCACTCACCCATGGCATAGATACTTTGAAAAAAATCGACAGTTTTAATCTAAAATCATAGATATTTAATACATAGGAAGCCAGCAACAGGAATGTCAGCGTTTTGCCAGTATCATTGACAAAATTCCCATTAGCTGACAGTTACACAAATACAGAATATGACTCTAGCTGAGGGAAAAAACATACAGATACAATTTCTCTATGTGCATAAGTAACCATGTTCGCTATTAGGAGAATAGGATCTTGTGTAGCAGTTTGCACTTGTTCAGTTCTACTGCCAAAACCAGACCCTAAAACTATGTTGTTTGGCCCAGCCACTGTTCTTATGGCAGCGTTCCAGAAATACTGTTAGTCTTGGACAGAAAACTGCTTATGTTGATTTCTTGAATAAGAGGGTCCGTGGACCTTACTCAGACTGTGCTTGCTCACACCCTCCCATTTATTTCACCGTAGGACACCCTCTGAGTGAGCCTTGTGCTGGTGCATTGAGGTAAGGCAGGGACCAGCTGGCAGTGAGGGGTCAGTGCTCCTGATCTGCCACAGCAGATCATGCCAAGCCAAACAGTGAGGTATGGCAGAAAAAGAGAAAAAAACCTTGACAAGAAGCAGACATGGGGATAAGGACTGTGGCATTAGAATGAATGGAGAAAATCTTTCACAGAGTTTTAGGACCCCATGCTGAGACTGAATGCTGAGTTGTACACTGTATGCATTAAGTGCAGAAATAGTAGTGCCTAGTAAAACACACTTGATCCATTTTTACAAGTGATGTAATATGTCTGTGCGAAGTAACACGTTCTTGTGACTATCCACCTTCTAATCCAGGGCCATGCATTAGTGTCATAGCTGTGCTCCTGCTGCCCTCTGAGCCATGAGTCACCATCTTTCACTTCCTCAAATAATTACAGGCAGCAGAAAGGGCTGTCACTTGGTCTCTCGAGAGCTTTCTCTGCTGCTCAGGAAATTCACACAAAGCCGCTTTTTCTGTGAATGATCAGTGAGCACCTGAGATTTGCTTTAAACTTTGGGCAGAGATGGCCCCGCATCCTAAATTTTTGTTCCCAGGCATTGCCTCACCTGTCTGTCAGATCTTACTGTTCCTGTAGCTACAGAGTGATGGCCACCATTTGGTCCTTGCTGAACCAGAAAACCCATAATATTGCAAAATTTCCTTCCTTGGGGAAAGAATGTGAAGCCTCATTGTTTGTATTTCTCAGAATATAGTGTGTGCAAGTACATATGTCTAAACAAGTACTAATTGCCATTCATTTTTAGAAGGTGCATTTGGTCTTATGTTACCATTAAGTAGCTGTGCAGCTGAAATGCAGCTCAGTTCTCCACTGCCCTGCACCTGGTTGGTGCTCTCCATCTGCAAAGTGCAAAGTACGTGATTAATGCAACTAACTTAAAATTTTCCAGTCACCGGAGGTGGCATTTTGTTCCCATTTAGAAGGCTACATACTTGTAAATGACTATGCCAGGTGCAGGGGGGGGAACCTGACCCCCTTTAAAATTCATCTTTCCCCTGAATTAGGATTAATTTTTCAAAGAAGCCAGGATGTTTCTGCTTTCCTTGGTGCGTGTGTGAGTCTGTGTGCCAGGGGAGGGTGTGTGGCAAGGAGAGGCAGAGCAGGAACAAGAATTGAAATGGTCCTTGACTCAGCCCTCTCTAATAGAGCACGTTACAAAGGAAGTGGGAAGACCTGGAAGGAACATTTTCCGTGTTACTTATTTGGTACAAGTGTACAATTTCTGCTTCACTGGGCACCTGAAATTTCCTCCCAAAACATGGGCAGGCAAAACTTTTTGTCCCACTGTGTCATCATGCAGCAATTCCACTCCTTAATCCTGTGTTATTACAGCAGTGGGTAAAGCCTTCCCGGGTAGGTCTTGATCCTGCTCATGTATGTGTTTGGAAGGGGGTAGCCCAGGATCGACATCCTTTATTAAAAGCCCATATTAGTTGGGCCCAGACTTGGGGTTTGCTACAGAGATGACTTGTTACTCGAGGAGGTTTATATTGTTGGCTAGGGGACACTCTCCTCTCCCGTTTTGTATCAGCTGACAGAGCCTATGTCTGATAAATGACTAATAACATTTCTGCAGAGGTGCTACCGGCGAGGGATTAGAACCATATGCGTGCTTCTCCCCCTGCCCTTGGGAAAGGGAGAGATTCGGTGTTTGTAAACCGCTGCCGGAGCGCGCAGGGGCCGGTGCCGCTCGCTCTTCGCTGTACAGTCCGTTCTTTGCTACGCGCGTTCTCGCCCCCGGGCAGGGCCAGGTGCCCCGGACAGGTGCTCCCCGCCCGGCGGGGACAGGGGCAGAGCCTCTGGGCTGCCTCGGGCGCGGGTCCCTCCCTCCAGGCAGGTGCTGTGGAGGAGGGAGGGCACGGGCCCTGCGCCCAGGTGGGGCCGGGCCGGGCGGGGGGCACCGCCCGCCCCTCCCTCCGGCCCCGCCGGGGCTCCGCGCAGCGCCGGCCACCCCCGGCGGTGGCCGCAGCCCTCCCCAGGGCGGGCTCAGCCGCAGGGGGCTGCCTGTCCCGCCGCCGCCAGCCCGGCGGGGGGGCGGCAGGGGGAGCGCGGTTGTCTCCAGGGCCGGTCTTCTGCCCCCTCCCTCCCTTCTCGCTCCCTCCCTCCCCTCCCTCCCTCCCGCCGCCGCGGCCGCCGAGGGCTGCGCGGCCACCCGCGCCTCCGGGGCAGCCCCGCATGGTCCTGGCCGCTGCCATGAGCCAGGCCCCGGCTCCCCGCGGCGCTGACCCGCCGGAGAGCGATGCCCGCAGCGGGGCCCCCGGCCGAGGGATGCCGCCGCCGCCGCCCAGCCTGCCCCAGCTCCTGCACAAGTAAGAGCCGCCCCGCGTTCCGTCGCGCCGGGAGGGCGGGCGGGCAGGCGCGGGTCGCTCTCCCTCCCCGGCGGCGGTGCCCCCCTTCCCTCCCCCGCGCCCAGACTGACAGCCGGGGCGGAGGGTCGGCCCGGCATCGGCCCCGGCCCCGGCCGAGCGGTGCCCGCGGGGCTGAGATCTCCTGGCCGTGCGGGTGGCGGCGGGGCCGTCCGCTCTGATGGGGGCACGGAGTGCCCCAAAGACCGGCCCTGGCCCCGCTCCCCAGCAGAAGTTTTCTGCCCGAAAAGCCGCCCGTGCCGGTTTGCCGAGGGTTCACCCTGGCACCGCGTCTCTCTCCCCGGCCCAGCTCCCGGGCCGGGGAGGTCTCCCCCGCCTGCCCCGGGGCGGTGTGAGCCGCCGGCCCGCACGGCCCGGCCCCGCTCTGCTGCTGCGGATCCCCCCGGCAGGCCTGGGGCGAGGGGCTCGTGCTGTGCCAGGAGCGATCGCATCCCTGCAAAACTGTCACGGGAAAAGTAACCTGTATGTGCGTGGAGGGCTTATTAATGAGCACAACGATGCGAGTAGCATTTTGCTGTTTCGTTTTCCATCCAGAAAGAGGGGGAAAAGCACTTCTGGTACACAGATGCAGTGGTGCCAGCGATACTTTTCTGGCTAAACGAGAAGCTTGAAGACAAGCCGAATGCTCTGTAGTTAGTACGTGAAGCATGAGTAACGCCTAAGTTGATCTATGCTGATTCAAGGTGGTTTCGTGCACGGTATCTGACTTTTCCCAGGTCATACTGTATTAAAAGAGGTAAGGGCTTTTAACAGAGCGCTTGATCTACTAATGAGCGCCCAGCCTAAGAGCTGTTAGAATTGCCTTCTATTACTTTAAGATTTGCTGCTTGTGTTGACGGGCAGGACGCTGGGTGCTGCGCAGTGGTGAAGCGCTTTCGATATTATGTCCCAGACCACCAACTGAACTGAGCCCGTGTCCGGCCGTCAAGCAAAGCGCGAGTATGACAAAGCACTGCGGAGCTGCCGCGGCCTCGCCGCTGGGCTTGCTCTGCTTCCCTGCAAAACCCCTTCACGAAAGGCGCTGGCTTAGGCATCTCCGTCATCAGTTTGTTAACAAAACCAAACAACGTAACTAACAGCAAATTATTTCAATTCTCTCACTTACATTTGCAAAATACATACGTACCTATGTATAAATACATACGTGCGTGTATGCTTTTGCATTACAGCAAACTTGAAGTCATGAACGTTTTTTTAAGCTGAGAATCACATCAACTTTTATAAATATGTGTGTGACTGGGCTTTTAGAGTTGCTGCAGAGTGAGGCCCATAAATTTGATGCTTGGTTTTCTTTTAGTCTGTTTGCTTTTAAATCTTGGTTTGTAACTTAATCGTGAAAACATTCAAGGTTCTCATTACCTACATTTTTATTTCTAATTGGAAGTACAGGCTTGGGGGTTTGTACTGAAACTGAAACACTAATGGTCTCTTCCTAAGTCCGCTGGGTAGCTTCGGTGGCACATATGAATTATTGTGCAACTATTGTGCAAGGTAATTTACACTTACTCAAAATCCATCTTAAATTTTAAACTACAGTCTCTAAAGACAGCCTTTATTTTTTCATGTTTCTCAAGACTTTATGTGGATGTGTATTGCGAGTCAGATAGGTAGAACTGTTGAGAGCGCTTCACGATCGTATTTCTGGTGTGGCGCGTGTTATGTACGAGGGCATCACGTTTTTGCTGGTCACGCTTCCTAGCAAATTATAGGTAGGAAAACTTGAAATGGTTTCCTTTTGAGCCTATCTTTAATGGAAAGATTTGAGAGAGGTGCCATGTTCTGACCATTCTTTGTCATGGTAATGTGACGCCGGATGGCAAACACTGAACATCTCCATCTAAGGTCCTGCAACTCGTATGGTTTTGTAACCCCGTGGTTGTAATTTGGTGTGAGTCTCCGTGCTTACCTGATAATTAGTAAATGCATTGCCTCGGAAATGCAGGCAATTTGTGTTTTGTTTTGCTGATAAGAACTTGGTACTTTATAATCTGAATTGGATATCAGTGATTTTTAGGAAGAGATATGTTGGGGAATGTCCAAAATTCTCTTTGGAATTAACTTCTAATATGCCGGAACAGGTATTATGACTGGTAAAATAGGATGATGAGGAAAGCAGTGATTCTTCTACAAAATGAAGTCATGGTTTCATTACTAGGAAAGAAAACATTGACCTCACTTCCTGAGCATTTTGATTTTCTTGACTTTTTTTTTAATAACAATTGCTATCCTTTTGCTTTGCAAGCTGCAGTAAACAAGTGTGCAGCTGCAGAATGCTAATTCAGAATCATGTAGATGAGAATATTCCATGGTGTTTAACAGAGCACCTCTCTGTTTCAACATTTTCATTTTAATATTGTATAAAATATACCTTTTTCATTATACCATTTAAACTTTAAGAGCTCTCTGGAACCTTTCTTTCTTCCCCCCCCAGTAGTTTTGTTAGAAAGTTTAACAGATTTTAGGTGAAGAGCAATGTAATTCTAAAAAATGGCTTCCTAGATGGACAGCTGGTAAACATTCACTGTGAGTGCTGAGTTTGAATAAGGATTCAAATTTAGCAAAACTGAAGATGTGAGATGTTTTTGGTAGCTGCTACATTGGCTAAACTCATGAAACACGGTAGCATGTACAATATCCATTAAATGTTTCTCTGCTTTAACATTTATAATGTAATTTTAAAAATATTACTAAATCCTTAATTTGAAATTCCTTGCTGATAGTACCCAAAAATAAGGTATAAATTGAAATATGCTGTGTACATTTTGTACTTTCCCCTCGAGTGACAGTGTCAATTCAGTTGATAATAAAGGTCCAACGATAAGATTTACACTGCAGTTAAAGCATTCTATCTATGCAGGTCTTTGTGATGTGTGATGGGAACATACTTCTTATTTTCTAAAACTGAAAGCTTTATTGCAGTCAAAGCCTGCAAGTTGTGGAGCTGAGAATTAGAAATTGCTGGAGAAGGGAGACCTGAATTTACGTGTTACCGAGGATGACTTACAAAAACCTACCCTTGCACTTGAAATAAAGCAGAAGACTAAGAAGAACAGTTGTGGTGGTGTTGGCCAGTGTTCATCACCGCTTTCTACTGCAGTTGTGTGGAAGGAGTGGAAATGCAGGGTAGTGCCAGCAAGTGAAAGATGTATGGGAAAGCTCTGAAAAAAACAATATGTGGTTGGAACTGCTGATTTGGAGGTTTTTTTCCCTCCTTTGGTAAGTCTGCTCTTATGAGAAAATTGCTGTTTATGATTTGGAGGTTTTGTTTATAATTTTTGCAACTGAATTGCAAAATGTAATTTTTAGATGACAGGTTAGTGGGTGACAAATTTTAGCACCTGCTGTTAGATTGGCTGGAGTGCCTAAGCAGCATGAGAGAGTGGAGACTCCTATTAATAATTCCAGGTGTGTGATTCATTGCAATCTGAATGAGCAACTTGCTGGAACTGAGAGAAAGGACTGAGTGGCTGCTGTGGGTTAACTATAAAGATGTATGAGGAGTCCTTTTTGTGAGAGTTCTTGCTTGAAACATGCCACAATTAAACTCCACGATTATAGGAGACCTAATTGTATTGAAATGTAACTCTTTGTATGCTTTTGGTTCTAATGATTTGTCAGGGGTAATATCTGTCCAGTGGAAATGGAGCAGTTTTTAACTGCCTGTGTTGATATAGAAAGATATGTTTGTTTTACAAATTTAATAAAGATGCCTTAAAAAAATGGAGGGGAACCAAAGTTAATATTTTTTTTTCCTAAGGGGTTTTGCCCTGGAGATTTTGAGCTCCTCTGGAAGGAAGATGGAATTTCCAACATCTGTGCCCAAGTTGTCATCAGTTTGTGCCAGGTCTGGGGGCAGAGAGGAGTAAGCAGGCTGGTGCTGAATGCTTTGAATCCTTTATTTTCTATAGCAGCAAGGAGGAAACTTGTCAGGAAAAATTACCTCCAACTTATTTTTGTGGTGTTTTTTGTTTTTGTGGTGGTTTTTTTTGTTTGTTTTGTTTTTTAAACTTGAACGCATTATGTTAAACGTGCTATTTTTATTTGCTTTCTTGTCTGTTTGTTTTCTGTACTGTGGGATTTCCTTTTTCTTTTTTCTTTCTTTTTTTTTTTTCCCCTCCAGCTCAAGGTCTCTCAGGAGAGATAAAATATGAAATGTACTCCCATTATATACATTAGTCATGGCAAATAGTTTGGCACATATGGCAAAGGCTAAGCTGATATTTAACAAGGGGACATTAGGAGAAACACTGGTTTTACTGTTTCTCTTCTTACTGTTACTGATACAGGCTTTCAGTATTTATTTACCTTTTAAAAAGTACATCTCCAAAATCGGAATTGCTTCCCTACCCGACAGAGCCCTGAAAACTCAAGGAGTTTATGTTGAAACAACTGTAACAGCCCTGAAAGGAGATGAAAACAAAACAGAAAGGGCTGTAGCTGTCTTAGCTGAGCAGCTTTACTGAAACAAGGGGCAGGAGCTGCAAAAGCAGACTGCATGGTGTGGGACTTGCCAGAGAATGTGGGAACTAAACCTGCATTATTAAACTCCTCCTTGGGTTTCCCATTCATTGTCTCCGTATGTTATGAAACATACAGTGAGGGGACTGCAGTTTTCCTGGAATTGTCTGGCTTCTTGCTGTGTAGCTATCAGGACTCTTCTTAAACCTCACCTGAGGTTAAAATCAGGACTTAAAATGCATGTACCAAATTTTTGTGTGCATGGAGGGTGCAGGGACAAGGACCCCTGGAGGGTGCTTCACTTTTAAGTTTAGTTGTTTTCAAAAAGTAGCAGCAGTGATGATGATGATGATCTTCAAGTCAGCTAATTAAATGTCTTTTTTATTCATTTATATTTTATTTATTTTCTCTTTTGAGGGAAAACATTGATCCCTCCTGTAAATCAGGTGTGACCCAAAGCTTAAAGATGACTTAATCATATGGAT